CCATGTTACTGGTGATGAGTAAAGTGCACAGGGCTCTAGATAATCCAACCATGCCAATGGCACTGTGAAGGACAGAGTGGGCAATCATCTTCCCAACATAGGAAAAATAGTTAGATGCAACATAAGCTGCACAGTGAACTGGCAACAAATGGTCCATCTCTCCCTCAAAAAGAGCAATTCTACCCTTTCCTTCCCGAAGACACGACATAATAATATGAGAAAACTCTCTTGTCAAGCCTTTTGCATCAATGCCTTCTTCTCCAATGAATTCCACATCTGGAACTTTTTGGATATCAAATGAACTACGTTTGTATTCTTTGAGGACATCTCTTATAATATTGTTGGAAGATCGTTGTACTGTAATGAGCTGTCTTCTGGGACTGTGGCTAACCATTTTTGCTTGATATCTAGCAAGGCTTTTATCAGGTGGTTCTCTCACTGTACACAATGGCAACTCAAACGCATCTTGGGTGTCACCAGGATCTAGAAGAAATAAAGTTCCCTTGTGTTATATTAAGTGTAGCTTCTTTGTGCAAAGACAAAGACACTATTCTGTTTGTCACAGTCCTCACAAGCACCATCACAAACACAACTTTGACACTTTAAACAGAAGAAACAAAAGTGTCAATGCTTGCTACAATCAAAATAATGTTCAAAATTGCATCCATCACTCCAGCTAGAACTTAAATGTCCAGCAGGAGCCATGTGTGGATGCAGAGAACATTCATAAATCATACCTCCCCTATGAAAGTTTTTTCCCTTTGAGACCCTCCTGCCTCAAACCTTCACCTTTCAGCAGATTCAGTTCATTTAGCTTCATACAATTTGGTTTTTGCCATCCCTCCCACCCCTGCCCCCAGAAGAAACCAAAACAATCTGAGGTAGGTATGGATATTCCTGATACATAAAACTACAAAACAGTTATTTTAGCCCCAGCCATTGCTGCATTGGAAAGATTTCTTCTCTGGCAATACACTTGTTCATGATCATGAAGGAATTCAGCACTGTGCTTATAAGATGATGACAACTTGTTTGTTACAAACCTTGTTCATGAAGAATGGACAGGACAGTCTGTTGTAAATCACCATTTGAACAAGTCAGCTTCTGCTTACGAAAAGGGAAGAAAGACAATAAAATTATGGATATGTTAATTAACACATACCTGTAACAACAGACTTACAACCAGCCTCCGATAGTCAGTTACAGTAAACACCTGCATATAAGAACGTAGATTTACATGTAGACTAAAATAATAGGGTCTTAAAAATGGTATATATAGTTGTTTTATGCTATCTAGGTTCTTAAACTGGTTCCTGTTTCCACAATTAAAGATACCTATGCTATGATATGGTATTGTATGACTGATTTCCTCCGACAAGGATGCTGATACCTTTGTATTTCGCCACAACATGGACCTGCTGAGACAATTCTGACACTTAAGAATATGACAGGTTTCTGCCTAAGCAGTCTCCTAATGAAAATCACTTGATTTCTGTTTGTCAATGGCATCAGCTTATTTCCATCATGTAAAAGTGCAAGTTACAGTAAGCTAATGAGATACACGTAAGTTGGGTGGCTTTGAAAATGAGAGGAGGCACATTAAGGGTGTGGCTATATTTTAAACAAAATTATATGGTGCTTAGATATATGTGGGTAAAAGAACATCTGCATGAATTGAGAAATCAGTATTATGATAAAGACTCTAGGGACAAGGGTTTTTGCCACCCATTCTTGATTGGTTTGGTATACAGTAAACACCCACATATAACAACCTAGAATTTACCGTAAAGACCGGCGTATACGCCGCACCTTTTTGCTCAAAATTTTCGTATCAAATCGGGGATGCGGCTTATCTGCGAGAACATCTGGAATACTCGTTTCCAGTACTCCATCTCCTGATGAAATGCCTGGCTACAAAGCTACGAACGAACGAACCATCTGAACACCCGTGTTCTCCATGTTCTTACATGTCTAATTCTACTAAAAAACGGACAGGAATGAAAAATACCAGAGAAAGATCAAATATATGTCAAAGTCGGATTTTCAGACTATTACAGAGCTAAAATTATAGGTAAGAGTTTTAGTTTTCTCTGTTTTCAAGGTAAGTGAGTTAAATGTACGCAGGCTGACGGGCGGTCAACGTTTAAGAAACTTGAAGAAAAAATGCATGTACATGTAAGGCATCTTTATCAAGACTCCACTTTTGATTTATTTTAATGTCTTTCCAATTGTTTTTCCAAAATATGAGTTGGCAAACTCGGGGTGCGGCTTATAACCCGGTGTTTATGGTAAGAACCTGTTAGGCTAAACATTTCATTTTATATCCCCCTTACATAAGAAGCAGGTTAGCCTAAAAAATTAAACAGGTTCTTAGCTTAGAAAATGGCCTTGGAATTTCAGGAAACTGGAACAAATTGCATGTTAAACTGTACAGATCTTGTTCAAAACTTATTTTTTCACAGTTATGAAATAATTACCTTTAATGCCATCCTCAACCTCT